TTAACAGTGGATAATTCAAGGGCACAATCTTTGGACATTTGCAATCAACATGTATCCATGCCTTTCTAAAGAATTGATGGCAGGAACTAGAAATCTCACCAGCTTCTGTTATATTAAAGGTTATTTGAAAATATAGGCCAGGTTGTAGGTGGATAGTAGGAAGGGATGCTGGGCACCAGATTTGAAAATCTGTTTCGTTAACTTTGTCAAGATGATTTCTATATTAATCACCCTTTAAAAACATTTATCTCAGATGCAGTGAATTTAAAATTTTCAAATAACATTTAAAAATAAAATTATTGGATCAAAGCATTATGTACTACATTTTATCAAATATCTAACTTTTATTAGAACATTCACTTAGAAAGTAAGAAAACTCTTAAAATTCCATTTACAATTGGAAACAGAAATTGAATGGAAAACATTATTAATTGTGTGTGAATGGAAATGAACATATTAAAGTTATTATGCTCATTTCATGGCAAAAACAAATTTTAAATATCTTAAAATCAAATGTACTGTATCATAATATATGCTTTCAAATTCTGACCAGCATTTATAAAATATAGCTGAGTGATTTGAATGCTTGTGGTCATTTGAATCAGGTCCTTGCTGGCTTAGTTATTGCCACTGAATAATTTCAGAGATGCATTCCTATGTCTGAGAATGGCGGAAGTGCTCCACTACTGTCTAGGCTCCTGCACTTACAGTAGTGTTCATCTGAGCCCAGTGACCTCATATGTCCCAAGATGGCAAAGACAGGGGTATGAAACCATAGTGAACTAGATGAGGCCACATGGAATCAAGACTGGGACACCTAAACATTTGAGATACCCCATGGGTGTTACTGCCTAGCTGGGGAGCATCTAGCACATGTACCATATGAGGCCCGTGAAATCATTTGATATGACCCTGCCAAGGCATCCACAGGCAAGACTTAAAATCCAATAAATCTATGGCAGATGAATTTTAAGTTTATAATTTTGTATGGCCTGCAAATGATGCTATAAATATCCAAATGGCCCTTGGCAGAGAAAAAAAAAAGGATCCCTATTCCTGTGAGCAGGCTAGGTAATTTAGATGTGGCTTAAGGATCAAACTGCTTCAGGAAAATGAGTAAGGGTGAATCTGCAAGTTCCGGTTTCATGTGATGGCCTGAGTAGAGGAATAGAATCATGAAACTGGGAGAACTAGAAATCATGAAAGTTGACATTGCTTTTAGCTTCTTGTGTTGCTATTCCTAGCTTTTTAATTTTGAAATAATTGTAAAAGAAATTTGCCAAGAAATGTACACAGGAATATCCTGTGCACTAACCACCAGACCCTCCCCAAACTGATTTTTTACAACTATAGTCATATTATCAAGTTCCAAGAAATCTGGACTTGAACAATCTACAGGACTTACTCAGATTTCACCGGCCATACTAACATTTGTGTATTATCTGTATAGTTTGATGCAATTTTATCGAATGTGTAACTTGTGAAAGTACTACCACCACTGAGAACTGTTTTATTACCACAACATTATCTTGCACTAACCCTTGACAGTCACACCCTAAGCCCTGGTAATTCTGTTTTTTTTCTTTTTTTGTAAATGTAAATTGGTAATTCCAAGAATTAGGTATACTGGAGTGATTTTTTTTTTTTTTTGGTATAACACAGTTCTCTTGATATCACCCAAGTTGTGTGAATCAGTAGTTTATGTATTTAATTTCCGAAAACTATTACATTGTACAACTCTTGTGCAGTTTTTATTTTGCTAGTTAAAAGACATAAGGTTGTGCAGTCTCTTCCTGTCATGATTAAACGACTTACAAGCACTGTTTTTAATCAAAGATATTTAGTTACAGAGGATTTAACTAATTCCTTTTATGCTCACTAGCTTCCTTTGCAGGTTAGGATCTGATGTGATTGTAAGGACTTTCAGTGATCTTGGATTCAAATACTATACAGTATTTATTATTATTCTGGCTTAGGTAGTTTCAATTGTTCAACAGGAACTCCAGGGGGAAATCTGCGTTACATGAGCTAGGAAGATGGTCCTCAAGTTTTCTCAACTCTTCTGTCTGTGCATCAGCTACCTTCCCTCTCCTTTTTTTTTTTTCCAGTATCACATAGATAAAATTTTGGGCATGGATATGATTCTCAGTTGATATGGATATCATCATACTCATTTGTATCTAATTGTAAATAATTGCATTATTCAGAGTTTCATCTCCATTTTACTCCCCCCTCTTTTTTGGAACTACCTTGGTTGCATATAGTTCTCTATGTCCACCATTTCTTTTTCTCCTGGCTAAAAAGAAATATGTATCTGTAATTTATGAATAGATGAATACTGGACAAAAAACGAACTCTTGTATACGTCTTTCCAGGGATACAAGGCTATACTGTAACAGGCAGAAATATAGTTGACAAAGGAAACATAACACATGTATGTGTCAGTGCTGCATTCTAGTTTTTAAAAAATGAGGGTTGTGGGTATTTGGAGTAACAGGGTGTTTGGCAACAGGTGCTAAAGTAGAAAGATGACAAACTGTGCCTGCTTTCGTATGAGTTAGGAAAATTATCAGCTAAAATCAGAGACATACTAGAACAGAGGATTTCAACTTTTCATATTTGTATTCAAGTGAAAATGAAATCTGACATTATTTATGAAATAACTTTAATAGATATTTCTTCTTACAAAATCAGTGCATTTTGATGATAAAATTTTAAATGCTCATAAGCTGAAATTTTTTTTAAAAGTCGGAAAACCGGGCCCAGCGCGGTGGCGCAAGTGGTTAAAGGTCCTCGCCTTGCACGCCCGGGATCCCATATGGGCACCGGTTCTAATCCCGGCAGCCCCGCTTCCCATCCAGCTCCCTGCCTATGGCCTGGGAAAGCAGTCGAGGACGGCCCAAAGCTTTGGGAACCTGCACCCGCGTGGGAGACCCGCTGGAGGCTCCTGGCTTCGGATCGGCATAGTATCGGCCCGTTGCGCTCACTTGGGGAGTGAATCATCGGACGGAAGATCTTCCTCTCTGTCTCTCCTCTCTGTACATCCGCCTTTCCAATGAAAAAATAATAATAAAAATAAATCTTTAAAAAAAAATAAAAAAAAGTCGGAAAACAAGATATCGAGTAAACACTCAGCGATAACACTAACAATGCCTTATCAATGTTTTCCTGCCTTTTCACCTACCATAAACACCTGCTCGTGTAATGAAATTTTCTTCTGAAATTGCATACTTGTGATTTTGCATTCTGCTGTTATGTAGAGGCCTCGTAACATAAATGTGTAAACAACACTTCAATATATATTGTGCACCTATGCATGCATCTTTGCCAGTGTGTTCTCTTGCATGATTATTGAAAGGGCTTGAACTGGCCATGTATCTGGATCATTTACCAATTAATCCACTCCTGCTGATTGTATTTTTTTATATTGTCATTCTTATTTATGTGCTCATTGTTTGATACTAATTTTTACTATAAATATGGTATAATAAGCAGGAAGAAAATGTATAGATTAATTGTGGTAGGGGCTTCTACCTACATCATCTATTGACACTTATTTGAGAAAATATTTGGAAACTCAATATGACCTGCACTTTTTAATTTAATCAGGTGTGACAATATGGTTATAAGGACTTAACTAATTATTACTTTATTGCAGGAAGAGTATGTTGTGCATCACAAATATAACCAATTAATGGGTACAATTAAGTTAGGCTGTGCATTTTTAAGGAATCCACTTGCTATGCCAACTAATAACAGATGCTCTGTCCATTGAGTGCCTACTGTGTAACATGTTAAATATGTAGCACTTCTTAAAATGATACTTTAAATGTTATGATGCTGTTTCCCAGAAAAATCAAGTGAGGCACAGAGGGCAGTAATAAGCTTAGGACTGAAGAGCAGGAAGTTGTAAAACTGATAGAAATAGGCTGTCTGCTTGGAACTTGCACTCCCTCTTAACTGCTAAGATTGAAATACCTATGTTTAATCTAGTCTTCAGCTAATTCTGTCACTTCAATACCGTAAGAGAGTGTTTACAATACTGAATATCATGACCATTTTCTACAAGACAATTGACAAGTAACATATGGTCCATAGTGTTATACTGACAAGTCCTCCTCCAGGAACATGTTTGCTCATCTTTTAAAGAGTGAAATGACATAAGGATAATTCAATTTGGACCTTGGAAGATATATTGTATGTTATTATCCAGACAGGCAGTTAGATTACAGTCTTATTATTCAAAAGTAAACAGAATGCATGAGAGGCCTTCAAAAATTTCATGGCTGGGTAAGCAGAATTAAAAGGCAGAATGCATTTTCCATGAACTTTTTGAACACCTCTTCTACAAATGTCTCATTAGAAAATTCAGTCATACACTGAGGAGCAATTTAAAGATACATAAGATCTGAATTTACAGTTCTGTGCCAAGGTATTGAATTCTTAAGAAGAAAATGCTACCTTTTAGAAAAGTAGTGCAGAGTTTATGCTGGTAGCATGGGCTCTGGAATTGGACTTTCTGGATTACCATCGAGTAAACATGCAATGTTGGGAAGCATTTGCAGCCTCACGAAGCCTCAGCTTCCTGTTTCATAGGCTGAACTCATAACAGTCCCACTCCTTGAAATTGTGGAGAGGTCTAAATGAGAGATGCATATACAGCACATAACACAGTACCTTGCACACATGATATTGAATTAATGTTAATGAATGTAACTGCTATTAATGATTATTGCTGAACTTTCACACTGTTTCTTAATATACACAGCCCCAGTTAACTTCTGCTGGTTCAAGGACATCTGCCTTGCAGGTGTCTAACTGGATTAATGCTGATTCTGAGGTCCAATTAAAGAGAACTCATTTCCCAATTCTTCTGAGCCTTACAAATACTTCACTGTATTACATGGTGTCTCCCCCTTAATACTAAAAGATGCATGCAAAACTTTTGAAGATGTATTTTGGCCTGTGCTTTATGTTAATGAGAGGTTTTTATTCTTCAGGTCAGCTTCTGGAAGCTGCAGAATATTATGAGACCTTCCATCAACTGACGCAGGGGCGGATATGGAAGGATGAGACGGGCCATGTTCTCAACTTGTTGGCCTGTGAGAGTCTCCTGAGGACCTACAGATTACTCTCAGACAAAATGCTGGAAAATAAAGAATACAAACAGGCCATCAAAATTCTAATAAAAGCTACTGAAATAGCCAAAGAAGGTGGGTGGAAAAGAACATCCTCACATTGCTTTCTTTAATGGGCTGGCACTGGTTCTCCCAAGAGTCAAGTAAAAACGGCCCAGTGCTAGGGTGATTATTTCCTATGAATTGCAAAGACAAATACCATCAATATACTTTCAGATTTTACTGTAAAACAGAGCTGCGTTAGTGCTGACAGTAAGAAATCCATTTCTTGAAAGCTTTGTCTCCAAAATTACAGTCCGCTGGGGTGGTGTTGTAAAAGAAGGAATCGCCAATGAACAGATAAGGTCGTCTGTGCAAGATGTGTGTGTGTGAGTGTGTGTGTGTGTTTAAGGTTGTATGTTTCTCACAATCTGAGAGCTCTTTGTAATTCCCCGTTATCAGGCATTAGGCAAAATATGATAAATATTATGATGGTCAGAAAATAAGACTAATAAAGGTTAGATTCTTGCCACTTAAAATGTGGCCTATAGTCTAAAAGTATCACCATCACCAGCGTAAAGCAGTCTCAGAGCCCACCCCATTCTTGTAATGTTCAGATCTCCAAGTTAGCAAGATCCTAGATGATTCATATGTTTCTTACAGTAATTAAGGAACATTTACGAGAACTGACTTTATATTTAATATGTTGTACCATTTGCATATTCATAAATACCTTAAAAATAAATATATTTTTACAAACCCATTTTTGAAATACAATAACATTTTGTTTTCATGTGGTGCTTTATCAACAAATTAACTTTTCCATTAAGAAGAAAAAGATAGAAGTTACACTCTTGAACTAAAATTAATTAGTCCATGAGTATATTTAGTTGATTGGTCTACTAAGTAGTATATTGCTAGCAAGAGTAAGTTAGACTGCATTTCTGGGTGTGATTTTTAATTGACTAAAGAGTAAAAGTAAACATCTTGCACTTGCAATTACTTCTTTAATAATATTAGTTGGAATACTCCTAGGAAATCATCCTCACTCAGAGATGTTTCTCATTAATGAACTTCTTTAAAATAAATAGTGATCTAGTACTTTCCCCCAAAGAATACTGATATTGTTAGCTCTGAGATTAATTTCAACAACAAACTGTCATTATGTGGAAAGTTATGTGAAATTTCAACATAAAAGGTTGCATAAATTAGGGAAAGATCTGCCTTTATATGCCTTTTTGCTAAGTTGCAAGGTAGTTCTCGAAGAGAAGCTTTGCTGGGTATCTTCCAGCAACAAGATCCTGGCAAGCAGTCTCTGTTTTAAAGGTGTTTCTCACTTTCCAAAGGATATATAACTAGAACATAAGACAATGTGCTTCCTATTTTATAATAATTCTAAATATCATCTAAAATCAGTAGATATTGACCTCACAGTTAAATGATTGTGTGAAACACTCTAGGACAAACTTTCTATCCTGTTGTTGCCTATTTCCATCAGGGGCCTGCAAAGCAAACTTTGGTTTTCCTGATTTAGGTACACCCTTCACTGTGCACACTGCATATGTAAAGGGTGCTGACAGTCCCTGTCAACCAATTTCTTTGGCGGGACATCTTAATGTATGATGTAAACATAGCAGCAGAAAAAATAGCTTCTCGGTGGTTCTGTAAGCTTCATGTTTTTCAATGCAAACCATCAATGGTGTTTAGTATGCATGTGAATTTGGGCAGCTGTGAAGACTAACCCCAGGCCCATGGGTAGTCATCCCTTATGTATCCCCTCTTCTAGCCCTTGGTAACCACTAATCTATGTTCTAAGTTTATGGATTTACCTGCTTTGGGTAGTTCATATAAATGGATTACTACAGCATGTGTCTGGCCTCTTTCTCTTAGCCTAATGTATTCAAGTGCCATCCATCTTGTATCATGTCTTCACTTCTTTTTATGAATGAACAGTATCCTTCTGTATAGTTATACTTCCTTTTCTTTATCTGATCAGCTATTGAAACTTTGTCTTTTTTCATGTTTGCCTCTTGCAAGTAATGGAGCTATGAATATCTGTATAGGTTTGCTATGATCCTGAGTATATATTGAGGAGGGGAATTAATGGGTCTAATGTTTAAGGCATGGAGAAAAGTCCAGGTTAGTAAGATGTTCTATCATTTTGCATTTCTATCAGCAATGTATGGAGCTACTTCCTCACTATCACTTGTTATTTCCTCGTTTATATGACTATTTGTTCTGGTAGACATGAAGTGTTATCCCACTAAAAACCATATTTACGTTTCTCTGATAGCTCATTATGTTGAACATTTTCCTGTGTTTTATTTACAAGTCTTTTTAAATAACATTTAAAATTTATATAAAGAGAACAGATTTTATGTATTGCATGTATAAAGTTTTAAGTACTTAGTGATTCTTTCTTCCTTCGTTCCTTTTTTTTTTTTCTTTTAACTGTTATGACACTCCCAATTTACTTTATAATCACAGGCTCAATCATTCACTAACTGAACTAATTTAGCAAATAGAAATTAGTAGAACCACTGTTCTACTCCTATAGGAAAGGGCTTTCAGCGATAATTAAATCTTTAGATGTTGGTTTTAATCATATATGTTACATATTTGTGCTCCATATATTAGTTATCTCAAATTAGAGGAAAAATATGATACTTATATATTTAGGGTTTGGTTTCTTTCACTAAGTATTATGTCCAGTTTTATTGTAAAGACAGGATTTTATTCTTTTTAATGGATGAATTGTATTCCATCATGCATATATTCCACCTTCTCTCTGTCCAGACATCATATTATGATCATCTGGGTTGATTCCATATCTTAACTGCTATGAATTGATCTGCTATAAAAGTAGAAATGTAAAAAATATATCTGTTACATGTTGATTCCATTTCAATTCCCAGGAGTAAAATGGTTAGGACATAATTTTTAGGTTCGTGGCCGACTTTCAACTGGTTTGTGTTTTGTTTTTGTTTTTGTTTTTTTTATCAAGACACTAAGAATTTTTTATATATTCCAGATAAAAATCTTCTGTCACATATATGATTTGAAAATATTTTCTCCCTTGCTATTGGTTTTCTCTTACTTCTTGGAACACAAGTTTTGATTTTAATGAACACCAATGTGTTTTGTGTGTGAGTGTGTGTGTGTGCTTTGCTTTTCATACGGCAGCTAAGAAGGCTTGAACTAACTTGAAGTCATAGAGATTAACTACTAAATTTAGCCTAAGAATTTTTTTTACATTTAACTTACTTTAAATCTAGTGTATGTTTTAAATTATAGTATGAGTGTGTATGGTGGTAAAAATTCAAACTATCTGGTTGTCCTAATACCATCTGTTGAACGTGTTTTCCCTAATCAGTAATCTTGACACCTTTATAAAAATTAGTGGACTATAAACATGAAGGTTACTTTCAACTCTCAATATTATTACATTGTGTATGTTTGTCCAAATTGGCGCAATACACATTCTTCATGATACTAGTTTTGTCATATATTTTGAAATTGGTAAATGTGAGTTTTTCAACAATGGTCTTTTCAAGATTGTTTCAACCATCTCATCACTTATATCTCCAGAAGAATTTTAGAATTAGCTTTTCAATTTCTGCAAAAATGAAGTTTGGAATTTTTAATAAGTATTGCATTGAATCTATCAATAATCTTAACACTAACTCTTCCAATCCATTAATATGTGATATCTTTCAATTTGTTAAACATTCTTTAATTTCTTTCAGAAACATTCATACTTTCTCTTCTCTTTCTCTTTCATTTTTAAAATTTATTTTAATATTTTTCATATTATAAATGAAATTGTTTCTTAGTTTCATTTGAACATTGTTCATTATATATAGAAATAAAATTGACTTGTTTATTGAAGTGTGTCTTGCAGCCTTGCTAAGCTTGTTTCATAGTTTTGATGGATTTTTGAGTAAATTATTTGTCTGCTCATTTATTTAACAAAGAGGAATGCAGACAGGGAGAGAGAATCTTCCATCCATTGGCCTGCTCTCCAAATGGCCATAGCATTCATGGCTGGACCAGTGGAAACTCCAGGAACCAGTCAGGATCCCCCACATTAGATGCAGTGACCCAAGCACCTGAACCATATCTGCTGCTTCCCAGGTGCACTAGCAGGGAGCCTGATTAAAAGCAGAGAAACCAGGATTTGAATAGCAATCCAAAATTGGATGTGAGAATCCAAGTTGTGGCCTTACTCCTTGTACCACATTTACCAGTCTGTTTTTGTAGATTGTTATAAGATTTTCCACATTAAAGATTAAGCTAGCTGGGGCCACCTTTGTGGCACAGAGAGTTAAACCACTGCCTGGGATACTGGCATCCTTTATGAGTGAGGTTCAGGCCCAGCTGCTTCACTTCTAATCCAGCTCCCAAAATGCACCTGTGAATGCAGCATGTGATGGTCCAAGTGCTTGGACCTCTGCTGCCCATGTGGGAAATCAACATGGATTCCTGGCTCATAGCCCTGGCCATTACAGACACTAGGGGTATGAACTAGCAGATGGAGCATCTCTCTCCTTCTTGCACTCTCACTGTGTGTGTGTGTCTGTCTCTGGGTGTTTCTCTCCTCTGTCTCTGTAACTGCCTTTCAAAATGAATAGGTAAATCTTTAGAAAATTATTATGTAGTTTTCAAATATGGTTTTGTTTCTTCCTTTATGTCGTGGTACTTTTTATTCGTGATTTGTTCTGACTAGAAACTCTATCAGTACAACACAATTGTGTAGCGCAGTGCTGGCTGAAGACATCCTTGTTTCCCTTTTTCTAGGGGAAAACTTGCAGATTTATATCACTAAGATGTTTTTTAACATATGGGGAAAGCTGCCCTCTCTCCTGAGTTTGTTCAGGCTTTTTAGCTTGAAAGGGTGTTAGATTTTGCTAAATGTTTTTTTTTCTCTGAATCTCTTCAGATAATCATTTATATTTTTATCCATTCTGTTTGTGTACTCATCCATGAGTACACTTGTGTATGTTGAATAAACCTTGAAATCTAAGGATAAATCCCATTTTATTGTGGTATATGATCCTTTTCATATGTTGCTAGAAATGCCTACTAATATTTTTGGA